TGCGAAAATCATTCAAACTGCAGTCTTACCCTTCTGCTTTCCTGCCAGCTTGTTCATCAGGTAGGACTTGCCAGTACGGTACAATCCCACTATGGCCACAACCACAACAGGTTGCCTGACTCCCATAAGATAGGACAATGCCTCTGGTACAACTCGCAGCGTCCCATTGTTTTCAATCAAACAGATAGGGGATTCCATTTCAGAAACTCTGGGCACAGGATCTGCTAAATGTAAAATGGATATCATATTCCTTTTTAACAAGTAAGAGAATCATGTCATTCTATGTGGGATCAATACAAAGGTAAGATTTAAACCAAGGCAATAATTTGTAGAAAAAAATCTTGCAATTTTCTAGTGACAACATCAGTATCTATAGTGAATTATTTTATTTCCGGCACGACACTGCATCATATTTATATGGTCACAATTTTTCATTCCATCTACCAATAATCTGTGAAAAGGATTTTATTGTTGCTACTTTTCTTGCGTTTCAAACTACCTTTCCAAAGTGATGGGTGTGGGGTGCAGTGACATTCCAGACTGATGGGCCATTGACAGTATGCAAACTACTACAGGTGTGGGGACACCTATCCCATCAATATTCATTGTGCAAGTCACTGACTTTCAAAAAAGACTGTCACTCCAAAGTTCTAACACTTTAGTAATCAAACCACATAAAATTTCAGAATGTCTCTTTCACCTAGCCAACCCCTGTGTCTATAAGCTTCAGAGTTCAAAAGTCTTAGCTAGAAATATCTATAATGTGATTTTTTACAATTTCTCAGTATGTCTGAAAATAGGTTTTTGAAAAGTATATGTTTAAAGTTGATTTTAACAAAAAATAGAATAATAACATTTTAAGTGGTCTCAGATTATTGGTGTTGAATAAAAGCACATGTAACACTTTGGAATAAATGTTTTTTAGATAGGTGAAATATTTTAAAATGTCAAGGCATGTCAGACTACCCCGAAAGTGGCTGAGAGGCCTCAGACTCCAGAGGGTTAACTTTCTAAAGGCAAGTGCCAGCATACAACATCCCGGAAATTTAACTCATCCCCACGCTTTAAGAAAGATGTGGCCACCACTTAATTATATATATTTTTCTCCTATGTCACCAGAGGGGCAGGGTCGGTGTCAGAGTGGATCTACCGGGCTGGCATCTAACTGACTATTGGGGAGGGGGGGTGCACCATCGATCGTGAACTATATTCATATGAGCGACACTAGAGGTTGACAATTTTTCATGACTCCCGTGGGTCACGGGATTCCCTGCGATGTTAAAGTTTTCTGCCATCAACAACAAAAAAATACCCAGACAAGCGGTCAGTCATCAAAACAGTCCCCTACACTGTCATGCAAACCCTAAGATCACAGGACTAATGAAAAGTAAACAAGCACCTTTCATATGTATCCCTTGTAATGTGTCATGCACCGCTCCGTCCGATCCTGATGTGTGTCACGCCCCCTCGTTAACCGCATGTGGATTCCCCGTGTTTACCAGCTGTTCCTGATTGTTGTCATTAGTCCATTGTATTTAGTCCGCGTTTCCGTTTGTTTCCCCAGTCCGGTCATTGATGTTGCTGTTAACTGTCGTGTTTCCCCGGTCCTGCTTCCCGAATAAATCCCCGTTTCCACCCGACTTCCTGGCTCCTCTCCCCTGCTTCCCTGCTCGCCTTCCTGCGACCATGACATGATGCATAAAACGCAAACGCAGCGCAATGTTTTGTTCAGATTCAAGTGCAGAAACATCTTAACTAAATATATTAATTGCAAAACAATTAAAATCAGGCAGAGAGAGGTTTTCAGTAAAAAGGTTTTGACTGTAATCACTTTTTGGCAATGGGTGAACTGCATTGTACTGGTTATACTGGTCCTATAGAGGTGTTTAAAGTGGTAAAAAGGACTGGATGGTTGATACTGCAGCACAGAGCAGGAAAAATCTCTGACTCTTTAATATGACTCCAAGATGAAGAATTGTCTTTATTTAATAAGTAATCCACATCGGTTGTGTAGTGAAACTCATTTAGACGTAGGAACATTTATAAACATAAATCTACATTAATGTGTCACATTTGAACTTCCATGGTTTCATGACATAAGGTTACAGTTTTACAATGCAGTTACGACCGAGGACTGCTTTAAAGCGTTTTACATAACAATGGCTTCCTTTGACTTTTATTACAATTATTTATTTAAAAATTCACCAAAACCGGCCTTAAATCTGACAAAGACATACCTTCGCTATATTAGCTTGGGGACACATGTACTGTATACTTTCTGCACGTTAAGACGATTTGATATCGAAATTACCCGCCTTAGTCGCACAAGAAACTGCGATGCGTCCTGAACAGGCTGTGAGCGCTCCGCGGATCGTAATCAGTTTCTGGCAGTCACTTTTTGGCACAACCTGTTCTGCAGAGGGGCTCCGTAGCTTTATGTTTACTTGTTAATCAAATAGACAAACACGTATATATAGTCGGATACTCCGAGATGTTTAAAATTGGATTATGAAATCGAAACACTTTTTTTAGACACATGCAGTAGACATAATACAACAAAATCTAATTTACATTAAGTTTTGGGTTTCGATGGTCAGTACACATGGTGAGGCATGATTTTGTATCAGGTGCTTTTCTATTATCATAATAAACACAGATATTCATCTAACAGCTTAGAAGCAAGCATGCAATATTTGGAAAATCTTGAAATAACTTCAAGAGTGTAAACTGCCTCTTACCTCAGATTTTTTTCTCCTCTTACTGTTGTAAAGAGCATGTAGCAACAATGACTTTAATTAAACCAGCTTCATACTGAAAAATCCTTTTATGGGAAACCAGAAGCACTTACACTTTCGATATTACTGTCACAACCAGCCGGACGGGAAACACAGGAATGAGCATGTTGAGTAACTGACAAGAGTTATATTCAAAAAAAGGAACAAAACTGAAAACAAAGAAGAACTCGATTCACCCGAACCTGTGGTAACAGGAAAGGGAGAGGTGGAGACTATGAACGCTTATAACTTCAGTGACAAACCATCCATCCATCCATCCATCCATCTATCCATTATCTCCCGCTTATCCGTGGTCAGGTCGCGGGGGCAGCAGTCTCAGCAGGGAACCCCAAACTTCCCTCTCCCCGGCCACATCATCCAGCTCCTCTGGGGGAATACCGAGGCATTCCCAGGCCAGCCGAGAGACATAGTCCCTCCAGCGTGTCCTGGGTCTTCTCCGGGGCCTCTTCCCAGTGGGACATGCCCAGAACACCTCACCAGGGAGGC